TCCTGAAGTGAAATGGACACTTATGAGAAATGGTGACTTGATCAGCATAGCCCTGACTGCTAATGGACAACTTAATACATTATCCCTCATAGTATTTTTTTTTTTTGTCTGTTCTACTTAATATGACTGGTTTAATTCTGTAATTATCACACAGTTATTCTTAAGTGTTGAAAATTAACTGAAATGTGATCCCTGTTAAACATAAGAGTGGGAATAAGAGAGGGAAGAGATGTATAATTTGGGGCATGCTCGGGCTGACTTGCCCCAATTGGTAGAGTTGGAAACATACCAGGGGATTCCAATTCAATCCCATCAAGGTGGCATGTGCCAATGCCATCTCACTACTCCAAGTGATCAATTTCAGTTCACAATTGATCATAATGAAAGGACTAAGAGTCAAAGGGAGCACATAAACAAGTCTAGTATCTGCTAACACCAACCGATAGAATAAATAAAGGGGAGAGTGATCCAACATGGGAAGTGAGATACTCAGCAGACTCATAGAATGGCGGATGTCCTAAATAGCACTCTGGCCTCAGAATCAGCCCTAAAGGCACTCGGATCTGGCTGAAAAGCCCATGAGAGTATTAATTTACTTTCATCTACCTGAAAGGCAGAGCAACAGAGAGAAAGAGAGATCTTCCATCCCCTGGTTCACTCCCCAAATGCCTGCACAGAAGGCGGCTATACCTGGCCAAAGCCAGGAGCCTTGAACTCCATCAGTCTCCCAGGTGGGAGGCAGGAACTCAATTACTGACCCATCATCCACTGCTTCCCAGGATGCATCAGCAGGAAGCTGGATAGGAAGTAGAACAGCTGGAACTAGAACCGGGGATCTGACATGGGTTGCCTGCATCACAAGCTGGCTTAACCAGGTGAGCACAGCTAGTTTCTGAATGTTTTAAACGCAGATAAACCATACTATCTAGAAACACCATCTGAGGTATATCCCCAAGAGAAATGAAAAACACTTCTCCAAAAAAACTTTACACACGTGTTCATGAATAAGCCTCAAAACCTACACACCGCATGATTCTGTTTACCTGACCTTCCAGAAAAGGGAAATTACAGCCACTCACAGGTGGTGACAGCACTGTCTGTAAACTGGTACCAAAAATGCTTTTGGGTGATGCAAATGTTCTACAAGTTGGATTGAGATAATGGGAAAATACGTACATTTAGGAAAAACCACTGAACAGTATACTTAAAAAGGATAAATTTATGTAAATTTATCTCAATAAAGCTGCTTTTGAAAAGCCACTCATACATGGAGTGAACATTTTACCTATGTATGATTTTACAGAGGTATACATTGATCATTTGGAAAATATTGGTTCTTGGAGCTGTACAGCTCTTCTGAATTTTTTTTTTTTTTTTTTTTTGACAGGCAGAGTGGACAGTGAGTGAGAGTGAGTGAGAGAGAGAGAGAGAGAGAGAGAGAGAAAGGTCTTCCTTTGCCGTTGGTTCACCCTCCAATGGCCGCCGCGGCCAGTGCGCTACGGCCGGCGCACCGCGCTGATGCGATGGCAGGAGCCAGGTACTTCTCCTGGTCTCCCATGGGGTGCAGGGCCCAAGCATTTGGACCATCCTCCACTGCACTCCCGGGCCACAGCAGAGAGCTGGCCTGGAAGAGGGGCAACCGGGACAGAATCCGGCGCCCCGACCGGGACTAGAACCCGGTGTGCCGGCGCCGCAGGCGGAGGATTAGCCTAGTGAGCCGCGGCGCCGGCCAGCTCTTCTGAATATTGACACATTCATTATGAACCACCACAAAGTCACATTCCTTATCCTGCAATCCACCTCAACACAACACTCTTTATTGGTAATCTGTCATAACCAAAGTGGCAAACACAAGTTTTTCAAAACTTAAATTTTTGCTTAACCGCTTAAATTGAAAACACACTCAACTGTTTTGTTGAAACGATAGTGCCATATTATTCATTTTCAGAAAAAGTCTGCAAAATACTGAAATCTATATAAGTAGCGTAAGTAAAAATGGTATTTCTATGAAAAACAAGTGGCTGGAAACATGTCACAAAAACTTGGACACAAATTGACAGAACAGCCTTATTCAAAACACACAACAAGTTGAAACAACTCAAATGTCCTTCAACTTCATCTGGTCTGACCGTGCCAAGGCAACTCAAAATTCAATACATGTACAGTAGGCTAATTTTTAAGCAGACAAT